GGGGGGGGGGGGGGCACACGCTCCTTTGCTCTGATTGGCCCAGCCTGGGTCACATGCCCACCCAGACCTCCCACATGATGCAGAGTCATGCCAGGCTCTCCTTATCCAGGCTCAGGACCTCTTCTCACCCCCCAACCAAGGGCTGGCTTCATCAGCCCCACCGAGACCACAAGAAAGGGGGTGGCTCCTAGACAGGTAGAAGTAACACAGCCCCACAGCAGCATCGCACCGGCCTTAAACATCCCATGACTCAAAGAGTTCTTGGCCTCGTCAGTCAGTAACAGCCCTATAAATAGTTCCAAAAACCTGACAAGAATCTCCTATTGGTTCATTCATGCACAGTTAGTTGAGCCCCCGCTCTGTCCCGGGCTCTCTGCTGGGCACTGCAGATGTTTTGGTAAAGAAGACAGTCTGGGGGCACCTAGGTGGCTCAGTTAAGCATCTGACTTCAGCTCGGGTCATGGTCTCACGGCTCATGGTTTTGAGCCCCGTGTCAGGCTCTGTGCAGACAGCTCAGAGCCCAGAGCCTGCTTCGGATCCTGTGTCTCCCTCTCTCTCTGCTCCTCCCCCGCTTGTGCTCTTTCTCTCTCTCAAACATAAATAAACATTAAAACAAAAAACAAAAAGAGAAGACAGTCTGGACCCTGACGGCCTACAGCCTCACAGAGAAACCGTGTCTGTGAGATACATACAAGTGCGACACAGCGATGAAGCAGGTGGGGCTGTGCTGGGGGGCCCTCACCTGGTGTGGGGCTGCCTCCTGGGGGTGGAAGATGGGTCGGTCAGGCAGAGGTGCGTCTCAGGCCCCAGGGGAGAGGAAGCAAGGTTGGCGCAGCACAGGCAGCCAGGCTGTGCATCAGGATAAAGGCCCGGCGTCCGAGCACTTGGGCGGCGTCACGAGAGACCCCGTCACGAGTCCACCTCTCAGAGGCTTCTCTTCTTTTTACAGGACTGTGCCTCAGAGGATGTGGAGCCATTTTTGGAAAGTATCGACGCAGGGGCTTTTTGTGGCCATGTTCTGGCCCCTCATTCCTCAGTTTGTCTGCAACTGTCTATTTTACTGGGCCCTGTACTTCAACCCAATTATTAATATCGATCTTGTGGTCAAGGAAGTCCGACGGCTGGAAACCCAGGTGTTGTGACTGGCAGTGCCCAGGCTCTGAAGGATTCTTCCAGCCTCCTTGACATGTGCGCACCGATGCTCGAGTAGGGGGCGGGGGGGGGGGTGGACTTCCTGTTTCTCCGTCCCGCGAACAAGGTGCTGCTTTGTCAGAGGCTACAACCAGGTCCTCTGTCCCTCTGCCTGTGGCATCGTGGCAGCGGGGACTGACATCCCAGAGCTTGGCCGACACAGCGATAGCACCTCCCCCTCCAGCCGCCTTCCTCACAGGGACTTGGGAGGCCCCGTCCACCGGGGCTGTCAGGGACTTGTGGTCCCCAGAGGATGCAGTCTGGCGACTTCAGAAGGCTGCTTGGTCAGCAGTCCCGCTTGCCCTGACCTCAGTGACGGACAGAGGCTCCCAGGGCGAGTTGGCAGCACAAGGCTGAGCCTGAGACCAGGCTTGCTGGGGCCAGGCCTGTCCTCTGAATCAAATTTAGGAAAACGGGAAAAGATTTTGTCATAGGCACAGACAGTTGCGCATAAAAAATACGGAGGAAAAGCCCAAATCCGATGGACGATTCTGTATTATTAAAGAGGTGGTAGGTTTTTCAGATGGAAGCCTCTAAAAGGGTTCGAGACGGAGTGGTGGTCAGACTGTCGTCAGTGTTCTCTGCATTTAATCACTGCAGCTTTGGATCCCTAACTCCCAGGGGGGTGTCAAGGACGAAGTCAGGCAGTAATGGAGGGTCATTCTCATCAGGCGCGCTGCCTCAGTGCCACTTAAAATTACTGTGTGGGGGTTTATTTGGTTGGTTTTCAGGAATTTAATCTGTAAAATCCAGGAGAGCCCTTATGTTCAAGGAAACATTTTGTACTTTGACCTCGCACTGTATTCTCTTATTGTCCTGTTCTGACGTATAAAACAGCAAGGTATAATTACACCAAGTGCTGTAGTTGTAAATATGAATAAGATGAGTCAGGGCCCTTATTTCTTTCTGGTATGAAGACATCAAGTGTGAATTTGAGCCATCTGAAGATTGGCCCCAGAGGTAAGTTTTGTGACTGTGAACCACTCGTTACTCCTTTGATCTTTGAAGATTTCACTCAAACTTTGCATCTGAAAGTTTGAAGAAATCACTTGAAAGTAAAATAAAGATTTTTATATAGATAAAAGTTCTATAGGGGCGCCTGGGTGGCTCAAGTTGGTTGAGCGTCCGACTCTTGATTTTGGCTCAGGTCGTGATCTCGTAGGTTGTGAATTCAAGCCCCGCATGGGGCTCTGCACTGATACCGGGGAGCCTGCTTGGGATTCTCTCTGCCCCCCCCCCCAGCAAATAAACATTAAAAAACATTTTAGGGGCGCCTGGGTGCCTCGGTTGGCTAAGCGTCCGACTTCAGCTCAGGTCATGATCCCACGGTTCGAGTTTGAGCCCCACGTGGGCTGACAGAGTGGAGCCTACTTGGGATTCCCTCTCACTCTCTCTCTCTTTCTCCCCCGCCCCCTCTCAAAATAAGTAAACTTAAAAAAAAATCTTTTTAATTCTATATAGAGAAAAAATTGCTTAGACACTGTGCAGAAAATCTGCATTGCCTGACCAACCTACTAGTCACGCTTAAATCCCCCAGCCTGCTGTGAACATGGAACCAGGGAGCCACCCCAAGGTGTCTTAAGTGAAAGGAGGGACAGTGTTTTTTACCTCCTGCGTTTGCTCGTCAGGCCCCAGGGCTGCCTGACTTTGCGTGTTTCACGGACAGCGACAGGTCTGGAGACCCCGCACAGTATTTGACATCGCTGGTCTGGTGCCTGGCTGAGCCACCGTTCTCCTGTCCAGATGAGCACGTGGAGGCTGGCTGGCATTGGTGGAGCTGGGCCCAGGCCACGCTGCCGGTCCAGTGCCCCCACGTGCACCCTGTGGCCTCACGCTGTCCCCACCTGCTCCCCACATCCTGCTCCAAAGATGAGTGTGTAATAGCCACATATGCCCTGCGAAGGAGGAGGGGCAAAGACTGGCCTAGAGCAAGCGGACTGGGCCAGACTCTGGCTTCTTATTGCCAGAGCAGAGACAGGTACAGTCAGGGCAAGGGCCACTGGCTGCCTCCTCCCTCAGACCCACTCGATCATAGCGGGTTGGGTACATCAGAAGGAGGCGTTGGTCAAAAACATTCAGACCCTTTGATGCAAACACTCCACTTCTGCAAATCTGCTGTCAGGGAGCAAGAATTCCTGATCCCATTCAGGGTCCTTCCAGGTCGAGTAAGAATCAGATTCATAGGAGAGAATCAAATTTAACTTGGTACATACGGGGGAGCCACACGGGCATGGATATTCCAAAGACGGGCAAAACGAGGCCTTTATGTCCATCCTGAACTAAGGAGAAGGGGGTAGGGGTGTGGGACTTCAAAGGGAAGGCATGCCTTTCACGGGGCAAGAAGAGTTGATGTCTGGTAATGAGATGTTTGCCCTGCCATACAGATGGGCCATTCAGATAAAATTTATCTCTGGTAATAACCCTTATTCTAGGACAGACCCCAATTTAGATGCTTCGAGGTAGTTAAGGGAGGGGCAGGGGGTTCTTGTTGAGCCTGCAGGGTCTCTGTTGCTTCAGCTCAAAATCATCTTCAGGCCAGAGTTTCCCGTGTTGGGGCCGCCTGCCCTCGGCCCCTACTCTGGGTTAAGGAACAATCAAAACATGGGTGGGGGGGTGTGGCAAAGATTCACAAGCATCCTCATCACATCAACAATCGATCAAAACTGGAAATATCACCAGTACCCCCAAAGTCGGCAACCTATAAAACAGTAGGTAACCATTTAAAATGAAATTCTGGGGGTGCCTAGGTGACTCGAGTCGATTGAGCGTCCGACTTTGGCTCAGGTCATGATCTCACAGTTTGTGGGTCCGAGCTCTGCGTCGGGCTCTGTGCTGACAGCCTGGAGCCTGCTTCGGATTCTCTCTCTCTCTCTCTCTCTCTCTCTCTCTCTCTCTCTCATAAATAAAACGTTTTTAAAAATGAAGTTATCAAAGGTTTTTTAATGACCTGGGGAAAAACTTAGAAAAATCCCATGTGATGGTCTCAACTGCATTTTTGAACATTACAGAAAACAATGACAGTAGCACACAGAAATGCCACAAGTGGTTTTTCTGGATCGTGGAAGTGATTTTTCTCCCCTCCTTTATATTTGTCTTTGTTTTCCTTTATCTTTGTAAACACTGACTATATACCACTTCTGTAATCAGGAAGTTCAACCATTAGGCAGAGACGGATGGGAAAGAATATTCCTTCTTAAGCTCCTAACTCCTAGACTAGATCTTCCCAAGAGCGAGCACCTTGTTTACGGCCTCGTCCGGAAACCCAGAGCCAGGCCAGGCACACGGTGGGTGTTCCTTCACGTTTGACCACCCGCCACCAGGAGCAGGTTAGAAGACCGAGTTCAGCCCTTTTCATATAAAGGGCGAGCCTCAAAAATGGCACCAAACCCAATACAGCCCCAAGCACGGTTGTGGTTTGTATAAAATAAGCATGGGACTTTTGACCTTCAGCTGGAAACCACACAGGCTCCGGCCCAAGTTCCGGGAGAGAAAGCAAACAAGGGTTGCAGCCTTCACACTCGGCCTCCGTTCCCTCCTGCCAAGAACTGAAGGCAGCTGCTGATGAGCGAAAAAGAGTTTTATTTCCTCGTGCAAAAGAACATTCCACGTCAGGCTGGTCCGTCACACCTGGGCGAGTCTGTCTCACACAAGAAACGCGGGTACAGTAAGTACTTTAGGTTGTACTCAGTCTGGGCTAAGCAGTTAGCGATCTCCTGGTCGCACCTGCACAAGATTTCTTGGCATTCGTTCTCCGCGGGTCCTGGAAGAAGTGGGGAGACTGAGTTAGAGCAGGCGGTGGCAGAGACTCGAGAACAGGCACTAGGGAAGCCAACAACGCTGGAGGCGGGAAGCGTCATACGTCGCATCTATGCGACACGGACAAATCACCGCGTGATCTCCGTCATGGCAGCTTCCGGAGGGAGGTGGCGTCCAACCCATTTTACAGAAAAGGAAATCGAAGTGGCCAGGGAAGCGTTTTCGGATGCAAAGTTCAAAGTCCGTGCGACCTTTTGGCTTCTCTTCCGCATCAATATTACACCGCTTCGGGGAGCCTTGGGCGGCTCAGTCGGTGAAGCGTCCGACTCTTGATCTCGGCTCAGGTCATGATCTCACAGTTCGTGAGATCGACCTCACGTCGGGGTCCACACTGGGGTGTGCAGCCTGCTTGAGGCTCTCTCTGCCTCTCTGTG